CCTCTGGCACAGGCCGCTCTCTGCGCCGCTCCCTCCCTTGCCTCGGCGGGAGTCCTGTCAAAAGGGCGCCTGTCGGCGGCGCCCGGCCTGTGGGGCTGCTGCCTGCCGGCCCGGGGCGCTGGGCTCACCGCGGATGCGGGGTGTGCTGCTCAGGGCAGCCAGCTCTGCGCTCAGAGCCTCAGAAACGTGCAGCAGGTTGTGGGGTTTTTTTTTAACTTGCTAAGTGGTAGATGAGGTACGCATCTGAGAAGGGAGTTGCTGTTGAAACACTGAAGGTTGAGATGAACAACCACGGTTTCAGGCCTGCGGTTAACAGCAGATGATCTGAGCAAGCTGCTCTCTTTTTCCTGTGTGAGGGGGGCTGCTAAGTGAGAATATAAACACGTGAGGCTGAGGGAAATCCAGATAAGGTGTTACTGGGTTGCCTGTAATGCAGGGGTTGCTGCCAGGTGCAAGCAGATGGTCCCAACGCTGCAGGGTCATACAGCTGTGTGCTTAGATCTGCTCAGGATTCACATAAGATGGGAGGGAGATGAAAAAAAATGGGTGGATTTTGATGGCCACTAGCTTAATCTGCTTAAAAAAACCCCCACAGTACAGAAAAAGTAATGGTTGTGGCCATCTACATGAAGCACATAACTGTATTTCTAGCTCTTAATTTATTTTTACTTCAAGAAGCTCTGCAAAAGATGGGTTTCTGTACCAAATAGGATACAAGTAATACAGTTCTTGCATATTTGAGACATACAGTTGAAACCCCCCATTTTCAGTTCCTGCAAATGGAGCAACAATCTTAAAACACTTTAAGATTTTTTAAAACCTTGACTGAGTACTCCTCATAAGTTTTGCACAGCCTCCTGTTAAAAACATGAAAAATAGTTTTGAAGATTATTATCCTTATTGCATTCAGTACTCACTAAAGTCTTGTTTTATCATATAGAAGGGAGACCACTAGAAGGAAGGGACAGAATCTGAATAAAAGAAGTGGTGTAGAAATAAAACTGCAAAAGCATTCCAGGAGAGCTTAGGAGGCAGAGTATTAACATGTGCTGGTTACCTTAATCTAAGACCCCTTTGAATCTAAATCAAACCTGTGGATTCAGATTCTCTTAACGAGCCAAAGATTCAGAAATTATTCATGTCAAAATGCATCTTCAGAGTTGAATTTTGCAAGTTTCCCTTAGCTTTTGACTTGCAGGAACTCTGCAAACAGACCTTAGAAAAACTTTGGCTTTCAGTTTGGCATGTTGTTTGGCTCTTGCATGCTAGTTATCTGTTCACATTTACTGTAAATAATGACTAGAAACCTAACCTGCAACTAGACTGTTGAAGTAACTTCTGGAAGGATTTGTTTCCTTTCCCCCACCCTCTTAAGACTTTTTGTCTTATGGGATTTGTTTGCAATCTGCTCGCTGAAGCTCTGAGGCAAGTTTGCCAGATCTGGGGCTGCATCATCGTTCTGCACATCTGGAAGTGGTTTATGGGCTCTCATTCCTCCAGTGCGGCGTCTGGACTCTGTGCTATTCCTCAGCAGCAGAGAAAAGAAAACCAGCACAACTCCAAAGTAAACTCTGAAGAGCTTGAAAAAGGAATTGAATCTTAAAACTGTTACTGTGCCCTGTAAGGCCCTTGTGCAGGGGACTTCAAAAGACGATGATGGTCAAGGAAGCTTTGGCAAGAGTGCTTACAGCTGTGGGCTATCTAGGATCCGAGTAAATAGCTCTACAGCCCTTCAAGAGAGAGGAGTTCTGAATACTGTGCTGCTTTGAAGAGGTAAAAAGACTAATTATGCAGGAAATATCTGAGCAGTAATGTCACTGTTAGCTTTCCCTACTACAGCCCCTCGTTTTGTTACAGGATTTGGCAACTGAATTAGGGACTGCTAGGTTCCAGGAACTAATGGCTACAGTCAGGAAAAATTGAGTAAATATTTGCAGAGGGACAAATATTTTTCTCTTAAAAATCAGGGGGTAATCAATCAGAGTTTCTCAGGCTTAAGAATGCTGTAGTTTTAGAACTCAAACTTGTACAAGAGTCTGTTTGAGTTTGGATTTGAAAGTTTAAAATGTTCACTTTGTGTTGATTTAATGATTTCTGAAGATATCATGAGGCTGTGGCTATCCAACTTTAATCTTGCAGTGATCATCAATATTATTTGTGACTATCATTATGAATCTTAACTAAAAGATAGTAGGCAGCTCTATGGAGCTCAGTGGAAGATAGCTGCTAGCTAAAGTGGGGTTAGAAAGTTACTCCCGAGAGTGTAGGGGATTGTGTTGTCTCTGTTTATCTAAACAAGTAAACTTTTTTAATGGCTGAGAAGACAATACTTATGTGTAATGCACGAGAGAAGGGCTTTCTTAGCAGTGGGTTTTTTTTTGACTGATAAGCTTGATCTTTCTCTCTGTGTAAATTAATGCCACATGAAGAGAGCGGGTTGTTGGAATGTAGATAAGTACTGCAGATGCGTAGGGACTTCCAGAAATACTCCTCTCTTGCTACAATTTAGTCATCTTTTGGGACCTAAATACGTGTGAGTATAAATAGTTTGTAAAGAAAGCATCATCTTAGCTTTTTAAAAAATATTTTTATTGTAAGTTGTTAGTTGAAATAGGGACTAATTTAGGATACTGCCTGAATTTGAGCATTAACCAATGAGAGGTGGTCAGTTTTGTGACTCAGGTTTCAAGAATTCTTGCTGTTCCGTCTGCCTTGTCAAGGAGTTGGAATGAACATTTTTATGTGTGCATACAAACTGTCATATATCCTTATCTATGCTTTAATGTATCCGTGTCTTTATGTATGGGAATGGGAAAAAATTGTTTCTGTCCTATATACAGCTACCATAGCAAAAAGTTAAGATTACTTAGTTGCATTTTCCCCTCCCCTGCTGCTGTTTTCCCCTCCCCTAACTCCTGCTGCTGTTTTTTGCTATTGGGTTCTAGAGGTTTTTTTCCCCATAAAACCGTATTTTTGGGTCCAGAATTCATCTGAACCCTTGTATTTCCCATAATCCTGTATTTTAGGGATTATGTTCTGTCCTCTCAAGCATAAAGTTATGGCCACTCTTGGGCCTGGTTTACAAGTACAGTTTTAGGGAAGTCTACCTCATTTTCTTCAGCATCACAAATAATGTGCTTAAATACAAGCTACGTTGCACAAAACTTCCCCCTTACTGTTAGTGAAAGGATACTGCTGTTAGAAGGTATTTTCACGATTGCTCTGAAATTTTCTGAGAGTTTGAAAGATGCTGCTCCAGTATAAGATTCCCATATGTTTGGGAACATACTCCAGCAAGAGGTTAGTATTTGTGATTGTTATTATGGTTTAGGTAAGATCAGAGATAAATGTAAATGTATTTACAAATTGCATCTTGTGGGTGTTTTAATATTTCTTTGCACATTACTTTAAAATGTGTTAAAAAATTCTTAGTTATTACTGAGGTAGATGATTGGATGGAATTTATTAAAATGCTGTTTTCAACCTATTAGTAGCTTGAATTAAAATATGTAATAGTTCTAGCCCAGCATAGTAGTTATTTGTTCCATAGAGTTCAGTTTTACCAGGTCAACAGTAAAATTTGATGATGCAAAATCTTGTCCCTGAAATAAATAAATAGTATTCACTGCTGTTGTTAATGATTTTTCTCTCTCTTTTCGTAATTTTTAAAAATTTCTTTTTATTTTATCACAGATCACAGTTCTCATCCAACAGGACACATGGCTCTTTTAAAGAAAAGTAAGAGAGATTAAAAACATTTGAAATATATATTTTGAAAAGAGGACAGAAGTGTCAAATGCAATTTCTCATGCAGCAATTTTCACAGTTGCATGCAAACTTGTAGTTTTGCTAAATTATGCTTAACTTTTAAGTATACAAATAAGCCTTTTCCTGTTAACTATGTTAGATAAGTATGGCCATAAATTCCATTGATTTAAAATTACACACTGCTTTACTTCATGAGACTAGGGGGTCTGGAATTTTCAGCTGAGTTCAGGTAGCTGTTGGTTTCATGTGGGTTGTGCCTAGAGCACTGAACCTGGCTTTTTTAAAGAACTCTGCTTATTAATGCTGTTCATACTCACAGCTGAGGTGTGGCCCCAAGAAATTTGGGGTTCTCATCAGCTGTCAGGGTCAGTGACTGAAAATTGACTGGTGCGTGCCTTCAGTTGTGCATGAAAAATTTCTCTGAAGTCAGTGGGTTTTTTCCCTCAGCTGATTTAAATTAGCATGGGTTTGGTGATTTATGTTTACCAATTTCAATTTATTCTCATGCCCAGTTCTGACCAGTTGGCCCTTTTGATTGAAATAGTTCAAAACTTTGTTCCCTTTGCTCTTTTGTACACCTTAAATACCTTTTATGGTGGTGCAAAAGTAACAAAAGTAGTCCAATACAAAGAACTCCTATTGTCAAAGTCACTGTCGATGATGGCAATGTATTCCTTCCCTGTTACACTCAGTGAACTGTCCTGGTACCTGCTCATGGGTGGTTCATGTTGAATAACGTACACTTGTACAAGACAGTCTGGTAGGAACTGCAAATCAAAATATACAGTAAGGTCTTTGCTGTTGCATGCTTTGTTTTGATTTTACTAATCAAAGTAACTGTGCCAAAATGTTCATGTATTTTCAAATGTTTCAGAACATTTCTGGTTTCAGTAGCATGCTGGGTTTTTCTAGGTTTTTTTTGTGAGTTTTGATCAAATACGCCTTGAGGATCTGAACATTGAAATTGAAAAAATTCCTCCTGTGTTTAAAGTTTTATTAGGGGAGCGTGAGAGAAGGAGAAGGCTAGGTAAAAATAAACTCACGAAGTCCTGTGATAATAAACAGATAACAAACTAACCAAGAAGAGAAATGGTAAAATTCAAAAACATGAATTTCCTAGTATGAATAACCCATATATATAGGGAGCGTAATGATTTACTGAGCAAATTGTCCAGGAAAATTGGGTAGCTGGAAGTGATTGTAATGGGGGAGAGATACTGTTATGTTTTTAACATAAAATTTTTATCTTGATCAAATAACAGGAGAAAGGAGAATTTGATAAACACAGAAAATACAGGTTATGATATGTACTGGTTTCAAATCAGATTAAAAATTCCAATGGTACTGAGGAATGAGTTATTGTACTGATTGTTAACAAATTCTCCCTTTTGTTTCAGTTAACCAGATATTACTGTTACTTCTTGTCTTAACTGTGTGTGCCATTTTGTATAACAAAGTTCACCAAGTGCCATCTGCATTAAAGAATGAAACAGGTAAATGACTTGTACTTCTGTTTCATTTACGTTCTTGTTTTTGTTGTCCTTCTCTCTTAATTTGAACAGTGCTTTTTGTCTTACTGAATCCTGTTTGCCCTGCAGTGGATGAGCTACTCGTGCTGTTGCATATGGTCTGGGATGTGGAATTTTTTGCTTCTGAGTTGCTTGAATAAAATAGTTGGAAATTGATATAATGACTAAGAATTGGCATTCTGATTCAGATTTTTATCCAGATGTCACTGATGTAGATGGAAGCTGGAGTATATGCTTATTTGTGCTGAACAGTATTGAAGTTGTCAAATTATAATAAACTTTGATCACGACTTGCCCCTTTAGGAATATTCTTGGCCTACATATTCATTTCAGATAGACCATCAAATCTTGACGTAATCTACAGCAGAAGTTTTTGCTGGAATTTTTATAGTGACAGAAACCCTCTAGGGTTGATATTGTTGGACTGGTACTGAATATTTATAGTAAAAGCTTATTCATTGTTCCCAAGATAAACAAATTCTGTCTTGGTATAAACAACTTTTTTTCTGTGTATTTTTGTTGGGGCTGTTACGGGTTTAATGGTTATGTTTTAATCAGTGTAAATATATCTGTACAAGTTTGTAAGTTAATCAGTGCTAGGGATAAAAATCTTCCTTAGCAGTAATGTGAACTGATGCGGTATTGTTTAGATTTTTTTCCTTTTATCATTAGCAACTTCCTGCTGGTACAAATTTTTGCAGTATACCTTTCTAGTCTGCTTCCCAAAGAAATAAAGCTCATGCCGTTGCACCATCTCTTTGACTTACCTCTTTCCTTTGATAATTTTGGAACCTATTGTTCAATTTGTACTAAATATAACTGAGAAGGAAAAGTCTCAAAGGTATTCAAACGTCTTCAGGTTTCACGTGAATAAGCAGCTACATGGAAGACAAGCTGAACTGTGCTGAGTTGAAGAGCCAAAACTCTGTTGTGTATTCTGTTTGGAAGCATCTAACAGTCCAGTCAATCTGCATGTAGTTCTGGAGTAGCGACAGCTCATGCTGTGTGCCTTGCCAGATGCGGATGTGTATAGGATGTGGTAAGGAAATGGGGTGACTGTGATTTGATTCCACTGCTTATGGAACTATATACTCGCTCCTATGACCCAAATCTGATATAAAAAAGATTCTTAATTTTCTATTATAATACATAGTTTTGTTCCTTGTAGTTGATTTGGAGAGTCCTGAGGAAATGGAAGAAGAAATCCCAGTTGTAATCTGCGCTGCTGCGGGCAGAATGGGTGCAGCTATAGCAGCAATCAGTAGCATCCACAGCAACACAGAGGCTAATGTTTTGTTCTACATAGTTGGGCTGAAGACTACCATCCCACATATTCGGTACATAACAGGCTTATTTTGTTTCGTGCTGTAGTTAGGATCAGGTTGTTCCCCTTAGCATGGGCATAAACTTTGGAGGACTTTCCAGGGAAATGTTTCTCCCTTTTATTTAAGTAGTGCTATTGGTAGCAATCCCCAGGGTTCTCTACGTGTAGGAAGAAGGATCACTTTGCTCTACATAAGGCACTGACTGGTACAAAGGGGTGTGAAATAGCCAGACCATGCCCGTACCTGTGCCTCTCTGCCTTATTGTAGATGGGCTGCACAAGAGTCTGTCACAATCTCACTTTGTGGCACTGCACTTGCCTCTCATCTGGCACTGCGTCTTAAACTTCAGAGTAGAAAAACTTGCTGTTTAAAGCTAGAGGGTGTATTAGAGGTTATAAATAGAGGCCCAAAGCAGCTTGTAATGAAAGCAAGTTTGGGTATTAAAACTTGCAAACATTGTCTAAAAGAGGAGGAAGTTGTGAATCAAAATTAAAGCATTATTTCTTAGCAGTTCTCATCTCTGGCTACTGCACTTCTGTATCCTGTGTGCCTGCAATTTTGTTAAAGTGAAAAGATGTAATGTGTGGAGTTCCACAGGGAGTTTTTCCCATCCAGTTCATCAGTAACCTAGATAAGATTGGAGAATGTTCTTTTTGAATCTGCAATTGCCATGAAGCTGGAAAAGAGACAGCAGCTATAATGAGGACAGGAGCTGAAAACAAACTAACCATGATGAATTGGAAAAATGAACTGTAAAATGTGATGAAATTCAGTAGAGGTAATGACAAGGTAATGTAGGTGGGAATAGCTGGTTGTATTGGCTCAGGGTGAAGAAGGAGTTTGGTAGCACCCGTTTGGAAAACTATGGAATTATGACTAACTGATCACACTGATTCACTGCTTTGGGTTCTTTTTTAAGAACAGGTTAAACAAATGTCTGTGTGCGATAGCTATAGACATAGTGATTCTGTCTTGAGATAGAAGAGTTTGAGTGAGCTTTCAAGGTCTCTTATTCTCCTATGAGTCTGTGAATGTAATACTGGAAGTACTTACCACACACTCAGTATTTCTTTTATCACAGAAAATGGATTGAAAATTCTAAACTGAAAGAAATAAAATTTAAGGTTGTGGAATTCAACCCTATGGTACTGAAAGGAAAAATCAGACAAGATGCATCACGTCCTGAGCTACTGCAGCCTGTGAGTAAATGAACATCATGTAACAAATTTTCTGGATTTTTAACGCTTATTACAGACTTTAAAATATTCTAGACCTCTGTTCCATTACACAATGAGGGCGTAAGCCGGAGAAGCCACATCAGGTCCAAATGCTATGCCCTCAGGAAGGAAAAGTTTCCTATGGCAAGCTCCTTGCAACTTTTCTGTCTTGCTGGGACCTCATTATCTGGTGGCATAATCTCGGTAATTTGTATGTGTCATATCTTTAAGAATATATTCATAGTTTATTAGAGGAAAGATCTGACAGTGGGTTTTTTGTGCCTCCATGATGCAGAGTTGGCTGCATTCTGCTCATGTCCAGGGTTAATTCAGAGGCTAATGAGTAATGTAACTATTACTGACTGTCAGAAAAGGCAAATCAGATGTTAGAAATTATTAGGAAAGGAGTAAGGATCAAAACAGAGAATGTCATTATGTCACAATACAAATCCATAGTTTGCCCTCATCCTACATGCTACATGCAATCTTCATCCCTTTATCTGAAAAAGATGTAGCACCACCTGAAAATGTTTCGGTTTGTTCAGAATGTTTATGCTTGCTGTCCTTTTCTGAGCCTTTGACATTTCTAATTCATGCAAGGAATCAGTGGGTTAAAACTGTTCAGCCTGGAAATGTGGCTTCTAGCGTGACAATAGCCTACGGAACTGAGTGGCATGAAGGACTGGATGGGGGATGGTTGCTCAGTCTCTCTTCAAATGCAAGAACTAATGGACATCAGATTAAATTAGTAGGGGTCACAGAACAAACAAGAAACATTGCACGTTTTTCATGTGATGAGTACTAAATCTCTAGAATTCCTTGCTGAAGGGTCTTGTGAATTTAAAAGTTTACAGGGATTCAGTGAGGACTGAAGTTTATATTTAGACAGATCACATCTGGCTCAGGAAATCCGTTGAGATGAAAATAGCTGAAAGCTAGGAGAATACTTGGAGCAGCTTTTCTGTATGCTTGCTCTATTCTTATTTTTCACTGAGCATCTGCTTAGAACACTCTGAAAGCAGGTGCTGGGTAAAATGGTCTGAATTGGTATGGCTGGTCTTACGTTCTCAGTCTCCTTTCCCTCTGCTGTGTTCTTTGTTGCTATTGTAGAAGTTGTTACCCTGGTTCTCTGTCACCAGTCAAATCATTCCTATAGAGTGGAATGATGACACTGTTAAATTTGAAGTCTTTTGTATGATGTGCACTGTAAAAATGCATTAGGAAGAGCATTGCCAGCAGGTCCAGGAATGTCATCCTTCCTCTTTACTCCACACTGGTGAGGCTGCATCTGGAGTACTGTGTTTTCTGAGCTCCCCAGTTACAAGAAGGATATGGACTTACTGGGCTAAGTCCAACACAGGGCTGCAAAGATGATTGAGGGACTGGAGCATCTTATATATGAGGAGAGGCTGAGAGAGCTGGGGCTGTTCAGCCTGGAGAAGGATCAGGAGGATCTTATCAGTGTCCATAAATACCTGAGAGGAGGGACAAGAGGCAATGGGCACAAATTAAAATACATGAAATTTCCTCTGGGCACAAGAAAAAAATTTTTGTTGTTTTTTATGGTGAGGGTGGTCAAACAGTTGCCCAGGTTGTTGAGTTTCCCTCTGTGGAGATACTCAAAACCCCACTGGGCATTGGCCCCAGCAGCCTGCTTGGGTGGAGCCTGCTTGAGAAGAGGGTTTGGACAAGATGATCTCAAAAGGCCCCTTCCAACCTAAATGATTCTGTGATTATGTGAAGAAGCAACTGTTTAGGGTTGCTTGATTAGGGCCATAGTAAATAAAATAGGGATAAATAATAATATAATGGATTAAAGATACTAGTAGATGGGGGGGGGGGCGGGGGGAGGAAGCTAGTGCTCAGTGAAGAGAGAAATTAAAACTAATTGTAGTAGAGACAGAAGCATGAGACTTCTACATTAAACAGCTTCACCATATAGTCTTTACCTTTTTTTCTGTTTAATAGCTGAACTTCGTTCGATTTTATCTTCCTTTGCTTATCCAGAAACATGAGAAGGTAATATATTTGGATGATGATATCATTGTTCAAGGTAAGGTGTCATCTGAAAAGCAGTTTTCAGCAGAATTAAAATCAGTTATTGCAGCTTTTACAGTCGTTTGGAAATATGACATGTAATGGAAACTGAGGCAACTGCTAGGAGTGTTGCACTTCAGAAAACTACAAATAATCTGTTTGTTTATTTAAGGGAAATTCTGAAGAAGAACTCTCAATGTATCTTTTGAATAGTTGATTTTGATCAAAATTGTATATATGAGTTTCCTTTTAATTGAATCTGGTCAGTTGCTGAAAGATATAATGGATTTCACTTAGATGCTGCAATATTTATTGTGAAGTATGTGACATGCATTTCCTGCTAGAGTTTGAATTCCCACAAATGCTACCAGTTCCTTATCCAGAATTGCTGTTCTTGAGAGCAAGAGGAATTTACTCAAATAAGAGGGTTAAAAGTGCAAACACTCAAAATATGATTTTGAGCATCTTCAGCTCAGAAGCCATGGCAATTTGTGAATCGTGATCAAAGATTTCAGAATTTCTAGACAAATAGGAGCAGTGAGAAGACATTAAAATCCTGAAAAATCTTTCATACAAAGAAATCTAATTAGACAATTATTTTTTAAAGATTAGTTGATGAGTGTGTTTTTCTCTTCTGATTCCCAGTATGTATATATATTTTTTTCCCTCTGTAGAGTTGTTGTCCTCCCTTGTTTATCATATTGTTTTCTTGTTATTTTGTAACTTTTAAAATCAGAATGTTGTGGTTTAATCCTGGTAGGCAGCTAAGCACCACACAGCTGCTCACTCACTTCCTCCCATCCCCACCCCCAGGGGGATGGAAGAATAGGAAAGGAAGAATAAAAGCAAGAAAACTTGAGGGTCAGGATAAACAAACATAATCGTTTAGTAAGTGAAGGATAAGTGGAAGAAAAGAGAAGAAAACAAAACAAAACAAGTGATGTACTCATTCATCACTCATCACTTCCAGTGGGTAGACTGATGCCCAGCCAGTTTCCCAGCAAGAGTTGGCTAACACATCCTCCCAGACACCCCTTCTTCCCCTTTTATAGCCGAGAATGACATTATCTCTTTGGTCAGTTGAGCCATCTGACCAGTTGTGTCCCCTCCCGGCCTTTTGTGCATCCCCTAATCTATTCCCTGGGGGGCAGAGTGAGAAACAGAGAAGGCCTTGATGCTGTGCAACCACTGTTCAGCAAAAGCTAGATCATTAGTGTGCTATCAGTACTGTTTTGATCAAAAATCTAAACCCCAGCACCATGAAGAAAATTAGCTCTATTCTAGCCAGGCCCAGTACACAGGGACAACAAAACCATTTTACCTATCCTTGTTCAACGTTAAAGGGATGTTCTAGTGAAAATTTCCTCTGGAGAAGACTGAGTATAACTATAATTTTGGCCTAAATTAATCTTTTCTGTAAGAACATTGAGATCAGTGAATTTACATATGACAAAGGTTTAATTTTATTCTCTACTGCTTCTCCATACCTTTTTATAGTTTTGTCTCTTTAGTGGCAGATTTCAGAATATCTGCACTTAAAGGGGCTGCCATTAGATTAAATAAATAGGATAAATCTGGAATGTAAAATCTAAAATATGATTAATCTCGTCTGCCTGTTACATTTAATTTGCAATAGACTTTGTATCACAGTTCTTCAATGTGTTTCCAGTGGTTATCTCTGCTTTTTGGTTTTGTTCTGTCAGCAATAGGAAACAGCAATATTTAACGCTTTGAAACGTTCTTAGAGTCTTCATTTACATGAGCTTCAGTTTCATGAGCACTTTAAGCTGAGCCCACTTCTTCCTCTGCATCCCTCCTTGCACCTGCACAGGCGTTCACCAGAAATGTGATTACTTTCAGCCTGCATTAGTCCCCTGGTAGGCATCAAGGCAGTGTGGCCAGGAGAAGAGGGGAGTTAGGGCTTTCTCTGACATTGGGGTGTCAGTTTGTGTCAGCTGATAGCGTTTCTGGAGCTGCGGGGTAGAGGTGCTGTTTCACATTACAGCTCATGGTAGGCTGCTGCTGACGGAAGTGGCCTCTCCTGTCCCCCAGCAGCTCCTGTGACTTGTGTCACAGTTACACTCGTGCAGCTGCAGAATAAGCTGATTCAGCTGGTTGACCTGGCAGAACACTAGCAGTACAAAAAAAAACCCCAAAACCGAAACTTTTTTGCTGTGAGGTGAGACTATTCTTTGCCGGGTGTCTCTGCAGTGGGAGTGAGACTTCTGGCAGGGTAAGGAGTTGGGGGTTTTTGAGGCTTAACTTTGGGATCACTTGTTTGGTGGTCATTGCTTTCTGCAAAGCAGTGAGAATGAAACATACTGAACTCAGGGTGTCAGCCAGAATTGTTTGGTTTTTTGTTTTTTATCTTTTTCTGCTTTCCTCTTGAAAAAGCAGAAGCTATTTAGAATCAGGTGAAAATATTTAGCAAGGCATGTTGATCTTCACCAATTGAATGTAATTAAAATTCTATTCCTTGGTGGGACATGAGTCCTAAAACAAGTTTTCCAACCAGCCGATGAGTTCAGACAAATAAATTTTCTTATTTCAGAAATAGTACTTGCAGTGTCTGCAGTGTGGGGAATGGTTTTGGTTACTAGTCTTTTAATGAGCTCACCTCAGGCTGCTGGGCCATATGTGGCCTTCCAAGAGAATTCATCTTACCTGTGACAGACTCATGCCCAGCAGCGAAGCTGGTAGCTGTAGGGCATTTGGGTGCAGACTCACTCGGTTGCTGTGGCAGCACCGCCACCTGCCCTGAACCTGTTCCGGCACATCTGGATACCTGCTAGTCAGGTGATGGGTGAGATGCCAGGCATTACATTATTTCCCTCCACCAGCAAGGAGTTGGGTGGTCTGTGAGGCCAGCAGGGTTGGTCAAGTGTGACAGACACATTTCAGCTGGTCAGTGCTGGGAATCCAGGTATCTTACTAAGAGGTATAAACATAACCAGGAAAACCTGATGTGTGCAAGAGATTGAAGTGGCACTTCTGTGGGACTTGAAGACGATCAGAAAAATTGCCTTTGCCCTCCCTCTCCAAAGGCAAGCTCCAAGAATGTAGAACTTTGTAACCAGGCTGAATACTGATGACAGTATCTAAAGATAGACCTTAGACATCCAGGTACAGGACTCAAGTATGAAAATTGTCCCATATGACAAAATTCAGTCTTCATTAATCTGTGCTGTCCCCTCAAATCAGTATGTTTGTAGCTAACATGTATGAGAACAGAAGTTATTCTATCAACTCTGTAGCAGTGCAGTAGGTTTCTTCTTATGCTTTTGACCTTCCTGTGATCAGGTGACATCCAGGAACTCTATGACACCAAGTTAGCTCCTGGACATGCTGCAGCTTTTTCAGATGACTGTGATCTGCCTTCTACACATGAAATGGTTAGAAGTGTAGGGATGCAGGTAAGATGCCATTTTGGAATTCTAATAATGAATGTATTTACCCACAAATGTAAGACGATTTTATACATTTTCCCCTAAGTGAGTTATGCTTTTTTTTTTTTTTTTTTTGATAGCTTTGTAAGTTTTACAGGTAATTAAGAACTCCTTTTTGTAGTAACTGTAATGCTTTGCAGAGTTCCTTCCTGTGATAATTTAAATCTCCATTGTTCTTTGGATTCTGCTAAATTATGTTTGATGTTTTGCCATCAGTAGATCATGAGCATTTATGGAACATCTAATGAAGACAGAATATATATTTGTAGTCATCAAATTGCATATGGAATTTAGAAAAACAAGTTTAAATGCTAATTCCTGAGCTGAGTTCCCCAGAATTGTCAGTGAGTCCCTCTAGCATTAGTGCTGTACGAGTGATGCTACATCATTTAGAGTAAGCTACAGAAAGACAAACATGTGGTGAGGGCAGAGCCTTATCACACTCCCATGAAACAATACTGTGAAAAAAGTAATTTAGTGGCTTGGAAGTATCCTGGCTTTCAGCCTTGTGTAACCATCATCTACAAACTCAGATTTGGGAGCATGTAGTCTCCGTGTCTGTGGTAGAGAGATGCATTTACACTTACCTTTATAGAGAATCATAGGGGATAAACATACTTTTTTTTTATTTCTTAGAACACATACATGGGATTCCTGGACTACAGAAAGCAAGCAGTCAGAGATCTTGGCATCAGCCCCAGCACCTGCTCCTTTAATCCTGGAGTAATTGTTGCTAACATGACTGAATGGAAACATCAACGGATTACAAAGCAGTTGGAAAAGTGGATGCAAAGAAATGTGGAGTATGTGTAGAAATCTAGCTTTGTGCTTTACTTCTAATACTCAGTTTAAAGTTTTATTTTCTGTTTAAAAGCTCTTACAAATTTTTTTAACTCCAAACAGTCTGTCTTTGAGATCTCCTCAAGCAAAGTCACTCATCTTCTAGAATTTCCATCTGCTTAAATATGACCAATTGTGTACCAGGAAACGACCACCTGAAGTTTTTAGTCTTGCGTTTAATTGCAAACCACACTGAATCCTGAGGGACACTAAGAACATGTGGTTCTTGTTCTGGGTGACCAGCATCACTTGGGATCAAGCCACTTAAGATCTTCCCTTCCTGAGGCTGCCTTAAAGAAGGAGGAATGTTTCTTTGCTTGTGTGGGGTGTCTCCTATTATGTCAGCCAAACTGTAACTGGACACCATATTTCTTAAATACCAATAGAAAACACTTACTATAGATGAATGAAATTTGACATGAAAGGTGCCTTTTTGGTATTGACCATGAACAAGTCATGACAGTGAAATAACACTGTTCATTTTTTATGCTAGTTCACTAACATAAAAAATGTTGCAAACTTGTTTATTTTCCTTCTCTGCGGAGGGTTAAGTTTAAATTTAGTAAGGCTACACTGAAACTGAATAGCTTGTGCTATTGGACTATGTCCTTAACTTGTTAATTTCAGAAATGGAGAGACACAAATGATAGGCATGTGAACAAATGAAAAGCCAAATGTCTTTCTCTTGCTCTGCTTATGTAACGTATCCTGACAAGCTATTGCTGTGCTTCCAGAGTTTGAAAAAACTCCATGAATATTACTGCAAATTCGATCTATAATGTTGATTTTATACCTTAATAACACATTCGTGTTCCTTTTTAGCTGGATTTTGAAATGACCGTGAAATAAATTGCTTAGCAGTTGAAACCCATTTTTGAGGGGAGGTTATGATTTTTTTGTTTTGTGGCTTTTAAGTATCCCCTGGTACTTCCCAGGTTTGCTCCTGTGGGGCTGGGTGGGTGGGTGGCACCACGGTGTCCCCCAGTGTGGGGGTGGCGTCGCTCCTGTGCCGACTGGCTGGCCAGGCCTCAAGCACACTGTGGTCAATACTGTGGCTGCTACCTCCTAATGCCTCCTCTTACAGTGATTTGGCTTTGTCTAGCCCTGGATTTATCACAAAATTCATAGGAAATGGATATCCCTTAGATGTTAGTTTATACTAACTAGAATGTCAAAATCTGATTTGAAGTTAATTTATAGGTCTAAAAGCTGGGAGAGGGAGGAAAGGGGAAGAAATAGGGAATGAAACACATGGAAACGTGTATTTTCTGAAGAAACCAGGCTAAATTGTTTGATTCCTTTATGTTAACAGCTTTCCCTCTACTCTAGACTGTCAGCCTTGCAGCAGCATGTAGAAGTAACTGGCATCATGTTGGGTCTGACTCCCATTTTGCTTTGTAGCAACAACTTATCCAACAGGAATTAGAGATGCAAATACAAGCAATTAACATCATTAGGAAGGAGTATGCTGAAAATTGGTCTGTTCAGAATGATTTTGAAATTTGCCAGAATACTTCTTTTTAACTTTCTGTCTTTTGTACTAAAATTCTTTGATTGAAGTTTTGATAATTTTTTTTTTTCCCCTCCTTTTTGCAGGGAAAACCTCTACAGCAGCACCCTTGGGGGAGGTGTGGCAACCTCACCCATGCTGATTGTATTTCATGGAAAGTATTCCACTATTAATCCTATGTGGCACATAAGGCATCTTGGTAAGTTTAACTTCCCACCATTTGCAGGTGGAACAAAATAAAGTGAGTGATTTGTAAGACTCTGACATAGGACCTTATGCTACTTTACCACAATGCATTCATTACTTTATACCTCAGATCCACAGTATGTAATACTGCCTCCCCCAACACTCTTTAGTCCTGCTTTCTTCAGGGTAGGGTAGAATGTGGGGGCTCTCCAGGGGTGTCACAACACAAATGTCTTAACAGGGCACACAAACAAAATAGTTGCACCCCTGCGAAAACCCCCCCAAAACCCCTAACAGTTATTAAATTTGATTAAAAAAAAATATCAAGGACAAAGTAAGTTACATGTTTGACCTGTATTGTCATAAAATTTGGAAAGAATACATGAAACATTTCAATATCCTGAGAGACTGAAAAACTGAGACACTCTTTTAGTAGGCCCAGTGGAAGATGATGGGATGCCTGGCAGTGTTTGTCTATTCAGCATTCAGGAGGATGTAGTTACCTTTCACCTGGGAATGGTGAATTATCTTGAGAAAGATAATGTCTTAGCTGGTACAGTAAAATGAATTATAATTCTTTTTTAACCCCAGCTATGACAAGATGTTAAAAGTGTTGAGAGGAAACTCACTGATTTTTTGCTGCTGTGTTATGAGGCATGAAGCTGGAAAAAACCTATCATACAACTAGTTGTCTATTGTAAAACCATACTAATTACATTTCTTAAAAAAAAACCCACACCTGAATTTATCTCACTCTATAGTGTCTTCCATTATTAAAAACTGGATTTAAATTTTTTTTTTTATTATCTACCCATGCAGGTTGGAGTCCTGACAGCCGTTACTCTGAGCATTTTCTTCAAGAAGCTAAACTACTTCATTGGAATGGGAGATACAAGCCTTGGGACTATCCCAGTGTTCACACTGATCTCTGGGAAAACTGGTTTATTCCTGACCCTTCAGGGAAGTTCAAATTAACTCGTCCTGATAGCTGATAATGAAACCACTTAAGTGCATCCATATGCTATGTTTTGCAGTATGTGATAGTTTGAGATGCAACATGTTGTATAATTAATTGATTTTAGAAAACTAAGTATTTGTTAAATATATGAATAAATGACCACCAATTTTGTGTGCTTATGGCTGGAGAGGGAGGCTGGAGTGAGTTACACAGTTCAGATTATCTGGACTTTCACGTAAAGTGAGGAAACAAGTTTACTTGATGACGAAGTATTTTCATTAAATGTTTACAGAGCTTTGTGACTCCCTTCTGCAGTGTTTGTGTGTAGTACATCTCTCAGTGTGGGTAGACCCCTGTGAGCAAGATACAAAAGCACATTCTAAGACACTGCAGTACAATTCCTGATTTTATTGTGAAGCAGTGATAGATTTAAGACAGATTAAGAACTTCTGTATTACTGTAATGGAAAGAGCACCAGTTCTGAGGGAGTACACATAGAATGGCAATATTTAGTGAAACGGTCATTGTACACTTAACTGTATTTTATACCTAGATAACCTAGTAGGTGACTGTTACAGAAGAGACCTTTCCCTTCCCATCAAACAGGATAGCTTTACAGTAGTTACCTCCTACTGTGCTACATACTCAGCAGTGCTAATTACATGCTTCTAGTTTTGTTGAAAAATAAAATTGAATTGTAACAAATCCCTGATGCAAGATACTTTGAGCACCTGCAGGAAAACGTCCATGTAAACAGCAATACATGATACAGTACACTTTAAATAACAGACAAGACAAGTCCTATACCTTTTTGACAATATACTGAACAGCTTTATGCTGAAGCTAATAAACACACTCAGAACCCTAATGCACACTTTCTTGATTTAAGATGCTCAGAATTAAGCCACATAATTTGGGAAGAAAACTGTAAACATCATGCCTGCCTCACAACAGGTTGACAGTGTGTGATTTCAGTGACAGCTGTTACAGCAGGGTTATAATCTACACTAACTAGTTACCCTCCATGCCTGACAACTGTCACTGGCTGTGAGGAAAGGATAAAACACACTGGTACAGGAATCTCTGACCAGTGTGGATTGTGGAGATACTGTTCGTATCTATTTTTCAAGTATGTGAAGCACCTACTGTCATAAGATCATCAAAACTTTTAGTGTTTTGATCAACTTATTGCTTTTACTTCATCTCTTCCTCACATGACAACAGAGGGAAAGAAGATGATGGTTAGGCACAAGCATCGAACCTCTTTTCTTTCTCAGTCACTAATATTGGCCAAAACTGTGTCTTATTTCAGCAAGTTCTGAGGAAGAGCGCTGTAGATTCTACAGCTGACTTCTTATTCACAGAACAGCCACCCTTATATTGAACTTAGTATTTTTTACCTTTAAGACAAATAAGGAGAACACCCTCTAAGGTCTTAATAGCTTGAAGAGAACTGAGTGTTAAAAACTGTTAAAATCGCAAATCTCTTTCACCCTGTCCTAATTGTACCTGATGTAAACAACGTAGCTGTGCTGATTTTTACAGGGCATGTGGTCTTTCAATTCCCTTCAATGTAATCTCTTCAAAGGGGTTGTCTCCTGCTAAAGGTCAGGTGGAGAGACTAATCACACAGAAATGACTGAGAATTTAAATGCCACAGAACTTAAGAACCACCAAAGTTGTTGGGTTTTTTTTGTTTTTTTTTTTTTTTTTTAAGGAATTCCAGTTCCTTACATTGGAATTTAAGGGGGAGAGATGGAGTGGTAGGCACACCTTACCCTAAGACAGCTCAGCTAGAATATTTAGGCCCCGTCCTGTGTGACACACATTTTCCTCCCCAGTGTTGTGACTTGAGATGATGTCTCCACTCCCTTAATCCTGAATATGGTCCAATCACTAAACAGACAGAGCACTCTCTTCCCACCCAGAAAATACTCAGTACCCACAGCTGCAGAACACAACTTTCTGCACTTTTTAAAAGAAGATAAAAGGCAGACTTAAAAAGCACAATTTGCTTAACTGTGCATGATTAAAAACACCACTTCATTTAAGATAAGGGTACACTTCCCATTTTCCCCACTGGATATAAAAGGATTATGAGATACCCAAATACTGAGGCATCAGTAAAAAGTATACTGCTGCTGTAACTATTACATTGCGATTTATGGAATAAAATTAACGCCCCAAAGAAATCTTCACAAATGAGAAAGCAATTTTTCAAAAACTGCAAGAAATGGTATACATTAAATATAAAACTCATATACAAAAAAGGGCTAACTTTTTTTTAAAAAGTTTTGACAGTTCCTTAAAATTATCTAGTTCATTGATTTGAGCCTACCACACACTTACTTTGGACTATAATAAAATAACTAGAGGAGATAAAATACTAAGAAAATGCTTCAGTTGGAGAACCGAGGTACCAATCTTGATCACTGCATTAAAACTGCAGCACGTATGCATAGCCGAGAAGAAACAGCTCTCACGCACTGCTTCCCTCTTCCTCCCGTGCCACGCCAGCACCGAACTCTGGAATCTGGTCTGCAAAGGACTGTGTCATCCATTGTCCATTAGGAACGTCACCAAAGGACGACCCCTCACAGTACTGTGGATTGCTTGCTGCTAGAACAAACAAAAATAATATAATACAGTTTTTAAAATGTAGCTTATACCGCTAAGTACTTGTTCAAACATAAGCAATGGTTTACAGACCCAATGCCCCAAGTACTGCACTTTACCAGTTCCATTTGAGGAGAAATTGCACTGTTCACTTTCATACAGTGCACGATCACAGTAAGCGCCTCCATATGCCGCTTCATAACCGGGATCGTATTTTTCTTCTTTGACAGCCATCTTTTTAGCATCCTCTGCCAAAACAGAAGACAAGTATTAATATTCAGAACAAAAATGATCAGAGCGCTTTTATCAGAGAACACTTGAAAAAACAGCCACCCACTCTACAAGATAATCCCTGCTCCCCATAGATAATTAAGACTGTACTGAGAGTGGAATCTGTAATTCTACACCAATGACTTAAAGATGGCACATCTCCCCCTCCCCTTAAATTCTTCATTTCTTTTTGCTGGGGAAACTACTACTTGTGTTGTACACTACATTTTAATAAAGGATTAACAAAATAACCACTATACCTTGTGCAAGTTGCAAGTCAAATGTGTACTGCACCTCCTGCACCTCTGTGTTGGGTGCGATGCCTTTCAGTTGGTCCCTTAAGTCTTTCAGCTTTATGTAATAATGAACTTTATCTTGTGCACGAGGAAACTGAGCACATCTTGCACTAGATGATGGCATAACGTAGCAGAGCTTGAGACAAAGAGCAAGAAAAATAGCATTACTGGTCCCTGAGTTATGAAATAACAGTTAACCTCACTGTTATAACCCTTTGTACAAACTTGAACTAATGTCATGGATGGCTGTGGAAGAGGATAAAGAGTCTCTCATTTTTCTCGGCCAGCTAGATATCTTGCCCAAAGAGAGGGGCCGATTATCAGCTGCTGAAGCAAAGACAATTTCCACGAGTTGTTTATGTGCTGCAGGAGAAGCAGTACCAGTATGTGTTACAACAAGTACAACCTACAAGTGTATGCCAGAGAGTGGAGCACACTCCAGGGCTCCCTGCACAAGCAGAGCTCTGAGCCAGAGAGCCTGCAGGAGTACGTGACAGCACACAAACACCCAGACCCATGAGGGAGGCACCACAGGTTCATTAGCCTGGCTTCTTGGCCACGTGTGTCTGCATCACACTTGCCAGGGTTTGAAACTCTGGAGTTAGTGTGGCTGAAGCCAATTAAAGTGTCTTTATCTCTGCCAAAAGCCCTAACTAAAGACATAAAGTTAGTTCAGGGAAAAGGAATTGTATCCAATACTTTTATTACCACGCAGTATTTATGAACAAGTACTAGTAAAGAGGACTATTTATCTTTCTTACAAATACATCTCCTATGGAAGTCTTTTAAGAGCTACTTAAGAAGCAAGCACTTTATCAACAACAGATCTTCAGGTTCTGATGCCAACACTTCACCTTTAGGGAAGCACAGCTTAAACCGAGCTTAAACTTTCAGCACTAGTAATTAGGGATAGAAATAAAGACAACTGAAACTTTTGGATTGACGAAGTCATGAAGCTTTGGTATAAACTACCTTAGCAGATAGTGTAATTGCCTTTGCCTTTATCTATTTAAAAGGACAGGTTAAACAAACCTATATGTGATGATACACAGCTGGTCTCTTAAGATATCTTCCAGCATGTCTGTGACTAAACCACTCTGCATCAAACTGTTTGTTTTATCTTAAGTGTCCAATTTAATTTCAAGCTGCAAATCAGCTTAAGTAGACTGAGTGTGATCGAAGTGCCTGGGCATGCCCAGATCCAGTAATGGCACAGCTGTTGTGTGTCACAGCACAACGATGGAATTACTATTCTTCTGCTGTGGCACTACTAGCACCATGGTCATGTTTGGTATCAAAATTCAGTAACACATACATGGAATTGGACACAGAGAACCAGATGAAAGTAGATGATAGTTCTCATAAAAGCATGTATTTTTTATTCATATAGTCCTCACAGAATGTACTAACCTACTAACCACACTACACCATTTCCCAAATGAAGTCTATAAGTCTGAAGAAGCTGCATTGAAAACATGTGCAAAAATCACACTGTCCCCCCTTTCTCTAAAAGCCTTTCATATCCCTGGCACTTTGGGCAAATGTTGATGTTATCCTAAGTGCATGCAAGTTCTGTGACTCTGTTAGTTTTGAAACAGCCAAAAACAGAGTGCCGTGTTTTCATCTCAGTATCAATACTTACAGTTTCTGTATCTGGCACTTTGTGTGGCTGCAGTCCAAATTCCAAGTTCTTAACTTTTATTCCAAAAACTTCTTTACTAAAAATTTCATAAATACCTAGAATGAAAAGAAGATGGGATAAGTGGACCCCCAAAAAAGTTACCAACAGAACAAATTCATTTAAAAGTCAAGGTTCTCACATTTTCCATTGAAAGCTGCTATACGGGGTTTGTACTTCTGTAACTTCTGCATCAGAATTCGCCCCCCTTCCCGAAACTCTTTGCTAAAAGAGAAAGTACTCAAAATTATAATCACAACTGTTAATTCATTGATAAGCACGCTATTTCCTTTTGTTATCCTACCTGGAAAGGTCTTTGCTTCCAGGTGTTGTCCTTTCAACCATGTTTGTAAATCCAATCCCATATTTATGTGGCAAGGTGTGGTCATCCATATGGTTCAGCTGTTCGTTACTTAGACCAGACATGAACAGACACTTCCCTGTGAAGCAGGAAGATTCACATTTGTCTTTTTCTAAGGAAAAGAAAGAAAACCAAAAAAAGCCCCCTCGACCAGCAGAGTACTGGAATACTAAAGGAAGAACCTATGTTAACAGAGCATCAGTTAATCTGGGAAGGCTACTGCCCTATCCAGAAAAGTTCAAAATAGCCAAAATTACTTTATCTACTGCAAGAGGATAGAAAAATCCCCAGCGAACAACAGGAATTTCTCACCACAATCCTGTGTATGGAAACCAGCCCTTTATTCTAAAAGATCAGTACAGAGCTTTAGATTCTGCAGTTCACTTAAGCAGAGACTGAGTGCAATCAATATGGATTTTGTGGGAAAGAACATGGCAAATACACGTCAGCTTTCTTTCACAACCTTGCCATCGCTTCTCCTTGCACTGGGCCTCTCTGACAGAAGATGTTGACATCTTACACTCATATTTAGGAAATAACAGTATAGTCTGTGTGATGTGCACTGCCAATCTCTTAAGCCCAAATTAACCACAGCTAGCTCCTAACAACTCGGGAAGGTTACAAACACATGGATTTGTCAGAGCATGCATATCTGGTCTGCTTCTCAGTAAAGAAGGCTGTTAGTCGGGTTAGTCTGCAGAACACTCGAGAAATACTCAAGCCTGATTTACAAGTCTGATGGACACCAGAAGCATTTTGGCTGGAGTATCACAGGGCTGCCCACGTGGAGCTCTCTGCTACCACATCTGGAATGGCTCTCAGTATGCAAAACAACATTTCAGCAGAGTTCAGGTGTGACCTTTATGAGAACGTGCTGCAGAAAATGTTACTTAAAATGGAAAAACACCTAGGAAAAAGTATCTGTCACAAGAATCAAGTATGCTACATGCATATACCTGCTGGGAAAGGGCAATGATTTTTGGGTTTTTGTCAGTTCTAAACAAGCTTTCTAAGAGACGAATAAATGCAAACAGAAGGCGGCTTGCTGAAATTGATTTTTTAGGAAAATGTTTGTGTAGTTTCATTTTATATCAGAAATTGATGTCTGTTACAATTACCCTTGATAACTCAAGTAGTAGAGTTTTAATTTTTATCTCTTATGTTGCACACTAATATGCCAAGAAGCTATCTGGTAATACAGTGTTTACATGACAATTCTAAACGTACACTGAAAGTCACTGATTATTCCTCTTTTATTCTCTTTTACGTACGGTATTTGACAGAAGTAATGATGAGATTTAAATCACTCTGGGATGGTTCAAAGCAAAATACCTCTCTGCATCAACAACAAAAAAAAAAGCAAAAAACAAACCCCAAGCCGATTTAATTAAAATGCTACAAGTTCTAATAAATTTCTGCAAATTCTGTAAGAGGAAAGGAAAACAAAAACGTACAAAAATGGTTTCCAGGTCCAGGGTAATGGTGTCCTTTGTAAGCTGCCATCAAGCCAGGGTTTATGCCAATCTACAAAGATACCAGTCCATTTTAACAATGAGAACATGGCTTGCTAGTCAGGAATTTAATCAAGTTACAGTAAGGATGCTTATTCAATTCTCTTTAAGTTACTGCCAGTAAACAAAGCTGTGTTAATGGTACCTTCCATCATTATTTAAAAAAACTGTCAACTTTATAGCAGTGTCTCATTTAGATGTGCAATGTCAAAAGAGAAGCTCACAGTGTGTTTTACAGCCACCGGTATAGCGCTTCCAGTAAATGAAGTGTCAAGTAATGGTCTCTTACAACTATGTATTATATGTAAGCCTTAGATTTATCAGAAGTTAGAACTATGTTACTCTGATTTTTGACAGAAAATGCAAAGCAGCTCTACTCACAGGAAACAGTTTATATACTTTATCTTTCAAGATCATGCCATACTAGCAACATAGATAAGTAAGCAGAATGTAAATCTTAACTAGTGAGTACAGACTATTCACTTTTCTACCTAATCATACAACTGAGTTACTTACTATTACAATGTCCAGATCAAAGGTCAAAATATCAGGTAGAGTCTTGGTCAAAAGCTCAGCTTCAGATACACCATTAAAACGGTCCACTTTTCTTTTGACTTTAAAAGTATCTGTGATCTTTTCTTGTTTGCCTTTTGACTTGGCTGGTTTTTCTTTTTTAGCAGCAGGCTTTTTGGGTTGCTTTGGCTCAGTTGCTTTGGCTTTTCTTTTCCTTCCTCCTTTTTTAACTTCTGAAACACACAGCAAAGATCCCTTTTGTACACTTCTAATGTTGTAGTGTAGATATTCAGAAAAGACTGAGCTAAATGTAGGGATTCAAGATGAAATCAGACAGATAAATTTACCTTAAAAATTCATTAATTTAAACAATTATCAGATGAATCTCGGTTTTGCAGGCTCAACACAGAGCTACGCCTCTCTGTAGCACAGACACACACACTACTCACAGGCAACTATGCTGACTTAGGATACAAACCAAGAATAACCTCATGGGTAGGTTATGTTGTTTACATGCTGTATGTAACAACCCATTGGAAACAGCTTCATTTCTTTTGGATGATATGGCAGAACATCAAAGCTTAGGTTCTAAGGAATGTGACAGTAAGTTTTAGTCCAGTATTCACACTTCAGCTTCTAAATATGAAAGTTGATTGTTACAGATCACATACTGGAGAAACTGAACAGCACGTCCAGTGCATCATATAGCAAGGTAATGTATGAGACCTTCAGGATCTCAGTTTGAATAAGTGGCACCAAACATTAATTTTTATTTACAAAATGCAAATATGAAGTAGTCCCTGTTCACTCACTTGAAACTTTGTCATCCTCTGGCCCTTAAAGCTTAGAGATTCAAGCAGCACAGGTACTGGTCATGACATGACCACTCAGACATTGCTCTCTATCCTTGTTCATTAATAATGTTAAGCTGCAGAACACAACTTGAAAAACACTAAAACATATTATAGCAATCAGCAAAGAGCCAAAGTAATCTATTACTTTAAAACAGAGACTTCCATCTTATTTTCAAAATTACTAGATACCAGGGCACTGCCCTAAGTCTGCAAACTTTTGGGGGCTATTCTTGTAAGAAAGCTGAGTGCAAAGAAAAAGGAGGACAAAAGCCATGTGAAATTCCCACTGCAACACTGAGGCAACTGCTTAAGAAAGCTGTAAGTAACAGTACTCAAGCTACAGTCTAGTTACAATGAAGAAGAAACTAAAAAGGCACAGGCTTGGTGAGACACATAAGCAGCTTTTCTTTCCTACCCCTTGAAGAGTTTGGAGGTTTATCATGTGACAGCAAAATGTCACAGATTCTCTGACTCCTCTGAGTAGGATGTATTTCAGATGGAAGCAGGATAATGTTCTCTTAACTCTCACGCTGATCAGGTACCTACCAACCAGACACTGTCATGAAAGATGAACAATGCCAGGGCAGCCTTTCAGAGTATAATCCTAGACATTTTACTTTTTTCATCACAGCAGGTAGCTGGACTTCAAATCTTTGCCTTTCATACATGCTCCTGTAAGTTTCACACACATTTGGTAAATTTTCAAGCCCTGCCTTTGAAGGCATTACTCAACTTCCAATTCTTGCAAAAATATTAGGGAACAGTTTCAAAACAGAAGATAACAGTTGTCCAAAAAATACTTGAGAGTGCAGTCTAACAGTGTGCTCAGGGTGACATCAAGTTATCCAATAATAAAGCCGCAAAAGAAGCCTAAATACATAGCACCTGTGATTTATCCTAGCTGTAGTGAATAATACTGTGAATGAATTGAGCAGTCACAACTACTTTAAAGTGGTGGTTTTCTTCCTATGATTTCATCTAGCCATACATTACAACAACAACAACAACAAAAAACCCCCCAAAAAACAGCTTATCAAAGGATGCACTTAAACGAGCAATATCATTGCATGAACTGGCTGATTACCTTAGCACAGAGAGCTCTGACCTACATCTAAATATTAAAAGCAAGATGAAACTCAGCATGAGAGTAATTGCTATATAATCATACTTTATGCATCACAGAGATCATTGCTTTTTTTTACGTGGCAAAGTGCAAGCAGAATAACAAAACAAGGGATCCTTTCTTGCCATGGTTATTGTAAAGCCTAGGTGTACAAAGTCCTAGAGGGGGAAAGGAGGCAACATACAAGTGCATAAAGTACAAAACTTGTTCTGCACTGTTTGTATTTGTTTACATAAGCCTCACTAAAAACAAACAATCCTTAGAGTATATAAGCAATTCACTATCTGTGATTACTACAACACACTAAACCACCATTTAAACAAAAATATTTTGAATAAACAGTATACTGTACTTGTCTTGCAGAAATTAAAAAAAAATGTTTTGAACTCAGACTTCAAAAAGAAAATTTCTCTAACAGAATATTAAAAGCCATGAAATCAGATAAAAATAATAAATTTCTCTACTGAAACAAAAAAAATCTCCTTTTTGTGGAACAAGATGACTTTCTGAGACTGAGCAATGTGAATAATATCACCTGGGTTGACTTCTTAATTGTCTGGTAAAAAATGTTACCTAAAGAATTTAATTATTCAATACTTCCTCTGAGAGCATCAAGAAAAGGAAACCCAGTAGCTCCAAAGAAGCAGTTGACGACCAGTAATTTTCTCCCCCAATCAATTAATAACGTTTTAGCCCACTTAGCACAGCCCACTCAAGCTACCTTTTGGAGGCTCCTGAGCAATGTTTGGCTCTGGAATGCCCTCTAGAGTCGGCTGCTCAGTCATGATTTCCATGTTAGGCGCTGCAGTCATCATCTGATGGAATGGAAATGTGTAAAATGCTTGAGCTTGCTGAAGATATGCGTAGTATCTTAGAAAGGGAGGAAAAAAGAGATATAATTTATCAACAATTTAGAAACTTAGTGGCGTACCAAACAGACTGTAAACATCAATCTTTATCAAGGCTGGTGTGTACTGCACTTAGATTCTCCAATCATTCTATTAACAAAGCAGTAAATTACCCATTTCCACTAAGCAATCTGACTGCTCAGCTGGTATCAGGTGATGTTAAACCCAACATTAACAGGACAGTTCTCTTGTGAATAATGTGAAAGAAACTCAACACCTGTAAGCAAAATGTAGAGCTTTTCCTTTTTTTCTGAAAAAAACACTGTAGCAAACATTACCAAGGCAAACTATCAAACGTACCGACAATTTACAAGACAAGAGAGTTAAAATCTTCTGGACTTCAAGTTCCCCAAGTTTTAAATTTTCTTAATATTATACCAGTTACTTATGTGATATGATACAGAATGGATGAATCATTCTGTCCTTCAAAGCATTATGAATACACACCGCATGGGTTGTCATGCAGATTATTAAACAGCTTTAACAAATCATGTGGCAAATGTCCAGTTATCTCACTCTGGATCCCAACAGAAATACCGCACTTATTCTACACGGTATTGTGTGTATACACACACACAGACACACAGAGATTCAGTCTCCTTCCATGCACAAAGACATTTTTCCATATACAGTTCTTTTGCTCCACACATTTATTCATCACATACATCCCTCACACTCCAACACAAACTTCTGCTTCATACCATCATTCCCTTATACCTACGCAGCCGCCTTCTCGTCCAGATTCTACTGCCATACAAATACATAAAGATTTTGTGAATAGTAAATTTTCCAGAAATAATTTTATAATCTCAAAGCTATTCATAGAAACACCAAATAATTTTTTGATATACAGAAATCTGGTCAAGATTGGCTATTTGGACAAGAAGGCCAAGAGCATCCTGGCTTGTATCAGAAATAGTATGGCCAGCAGGACTAGGGAAGTGATCGTCCCCCTGTACTTGGCACTGGTGAGGCTGTACCTCCAATACTGTGTTCACTTTTGGGCTCCTCACTACAAGAAAGACATTGGGGTGCTGGAGCATGTCCAAAGAAGGGCAGTAAAGGTGGTGAAGGGTCTAGAGCACAGGTCTTAGGAGGAGCAGCTGAGACAATTGGGGGTATTTAGCCTGGATAAATGGGGCCTCAGGGGACCTTATTGCTCTCTACAACTACCGGAGAGGAGGTTGTAGTGAGATAGGTGTTGGTCTCTTCTCCCAAGTAACAAACTATAAGACAAGAGGAAACAGCCTCAAGTTGTGCCAGGGAAGGTTTAGACTGGATATTAGGAAAAATTTCTTCACCTAAAAGTTTATCAAGCACTGGAACAGGCTGCCCAGGGAAGGGGTTAAGTCACCATTCCTGGAGGTATTTAAAGACCTGTAGATGTGGTGCTTAGGGACATGGTTTAGTGGTGTACTTGGCAGTGTTAGGTTTACAATTCGACTTGATGATCTTAAAAGTCTTTTCCAACCTATGGTCTAAATATCTCAGAAGAAGGGACCATTCTCTATTATGCAAAGGGTATTTAAGAATCCCACTGTAAATCAGATTTATGTCAGAATAGCCCAAATACTTGCCCTGAATCAAGGAGAATAAATCTGAACATGGGTCTGTCAAATTTCTGGGGAAGCTGCCTAACAAAGTCACAGGAGATTTTCAGAGTACAGTAAATACCTCAAGACCCCAAGCTGGAAGAGTTCCATTTTATATAAAATACTTGTGCAATTACTGAACCCAGCAAAACTGATCTTCAGATTTGCATTGGGAAACACAACGTAAGACATGTCAAATCCAGCTCATAATGTAATAAATGTGTAATCATACAGAGCAGAACAGTGTGAGTAAGAGAGATGTGAAATCATCTAACCCAAGACCAGATGTCTTCTTGTAATACATGCCTTATTTTATGCATATATAAAGTCTCCTTCTTGTAAACGGAATAAAATTCCCTTTAAACAGAGGAAAACTTGCACCATATCATGGACAAGTCCTCTAATCACATGGTGATGGGAGCTTTTACCCCTACCTCTAAGCTTCATATACATTTTTTATGTCATTTTTCTTGAAGGGGTTCAGAAACACAATTTTTTGTTATTGATGCATGTATTATGGAACATTTTAATAAATGTTTTCAGTTCCACGAGGAAAAGGCAGTGATTTAACCCCCCCTTCAGTTCATACTAAAAATGAAAGAAAAATAGAGAAAAGAAAAAGATGTCCGTCCACTGAAGCAAACCCAAATACTAAACCATTCACAAACCCACCTCCACACCCACAGGCCCCCATAGTCTACACGTACGAGTTTCTTGACACGCGGCGAGCCCCGTCCCATCCGTCCCGGGGGGTACGGGGGGTCTCCATCACGCGGGGCTGCCTCGCCTGCCCTACAGCCTCCGCACCCCCGGCCCACGGGCAGCGCCCACCCCACCCGCAAACCTCCCCCCGTGAGCACGCCTCAACTTTTCTCCCTTCTCCCACGCACACGCACCCCCCCCCGCAGGTCCCCCCGCACACCAGTCCCGCTTTATCCCCCTCGTTCCACCACTAACCCCACGCACCCTCCCAGCGGAGCTCCCGCTCCGGGCAGGCACCTCCCCCGGCGCCCACCCGCGATACACAGACACGGCAGCGCGCCCCACGCTCCCACAGCC